ACCTACATACAAACATACAAACATACATACATACATAGATATATATATATATGCATATAGCATTTAAAAAATATAAGAGCCTATATTATACCATAATACAATACACTACAACATATAATACAATACTAACTCAGTATAATACAGTATACTAGAATATAATACGATATAATACAACAATATATTATATCATGTGTATGTACATATATATATATACACATACACATAGATTATGCACACACGCGCACATACAAGTATGCATATACATATACTTACACACACACACACACATCTAAGCATGCTCATGTTCATGTTCCTCGCCCTATCTGCATAGCCTGGTCCCTTGTTGTGTTGAGCTCAGGTTCAATTTCGTTTATTAATATCGGAGATTCAGCGCCATTGCCTTGACATTTATCCAGTATTTATGGTTTGGGCCCTGGTGTGGGGTTTGGGGTTTCGGGCATATAGCCTAAACCTATACACAGCAGCAGCCTTAAAATGAAATGAAGCACTAGAAGGGCCGAAGGGCTGAGAACAGGCATGGCTACAAGAAAAGTGGTCCGTCGCCCGCGATCAAGTGCGCAGCTTAGAAGGCTTTGTGGCTCAGTGTTCAGAGATTTTGGGGTGTAGGGACCGAGCCAACCCTAAACCCTAAGCCCTAAACCCTACGTGTCTTCTTATGGCCGCTCGGAACGATTGACATCTCGGAGGTTTCATGAGATAGCATTTGTGTTCAGCTTGTGGGGATTCCGTGGTGTATCGAGGGCCAGGTACGTATCGACGTCACATTTATGTACGTGCCCTAAACCAAAAACCGATGATTACACAAGCAAAAGAAATGCCTAACCCTGGCTGCTCCGCTGTTCATGTGGAGAAGTACTTTGGGAGCTGCTGCTGGGCTCAGAGTTTAGGGTTTAGGGTTTTCGAAATCGGTTTATAGGTTTAGGGTGTATACGGAGTCGGTAGGGTGTATACGGAGTCGGGCTTGTGTGCTTCAGGGGTTTTGCTTTTGGTCGAAATCCGCTCGAACGTTGGTTGTAGTATAAACCCCCTGGCCCCGAATCTCGAGGACTCAACTCCAGGACCTTCAGTTATCTGCCGTAAAGGCCCCAAACCCCAACCCCGGCAACCGAAACCCTAAGCCCCTAATAAAGCTTCAAAGGCCCGAAACCTTATGCACTTGTCCTTGCCGTCTTGACCACGAACCTCTTCTCTTGAACTTTTGCTATTTCCCAAGCAGCGCAAAGCTTGCACCCGAAGCCCAGCCGTTGACCCTGTAGGTTCCTTGAACACCCCCCCAACCCCCCCGGGTGTCGCTGTAAACCGCCGGAAGTTTCAAGTTCGAAACGGACCCCCCAGGTGGTGAGCAGTGCCACACTGCGGAAACCGGCCTGGCGCTTAGGGTTGGCCCTGGGGCCTTAATGACACCCGAGACTCGAGCTTGGGTACCTAAAGGATTGTGGTGATTATGGGACGGAGTAATCAGGGTTTTCACGAAAGCTAGCCTCCAGGGGCTAGCGGAGTTTCTTATCAACCGAAGGTTGCAACAAGGCACACTCTGGTCAAACGGTGCCGGTTTCCCGAGCTAGTCTTTCGGGCATGAAGAGGGATTGTTTCTGCTTGCCTTGGAATGGAGAAACGAGCCGCCAATGATGCTCATGATGCTCGCCTCCCGGGCTCGGCCGGGCGCCCATGATGCTCATGATGCTCGCCGTGACTGTTCCAATCTCCTGCATTGCAACAAGCATGACTGTTGTTCAGTGCCTTCTTTGGCTCCTACTCTCAAGCTCTTCCGCCCAGCCAACCAAGATCAGCAACGAGTCTCGGCCAGACTCGCAGCTGAATCGTCGAAATTCGTAGAAAACCCAGAGATTCGGCATCTCACGAGCTTCCTGAAGTAGCTTAGTTCTGTCTTATCAGGCGCTCATGACTCTGCCGGCAGTGCTTCCAAGCTTACCGTAGGGCTGCAGGAATTTAACCGGAGGTTTGGAAATTTGGAATAGAAACCCTAAACCCTAAACCCTAGGATCTTGTAAAGGCCCTACAAGGGGTCTATTAGGTTGTAGGGACATGGGAAAATCAGTGGCGGCGACAACATTGAGAGCGCGGAGACAGAAGGAAGCAAGGATAGACGCGAATAAAGATATAGGCAAGACGAAAAGGAGCACAAGAGGCTGTCTGCAGTCTTATCGTTCGAGGAGCAACCGTCTTGGTGCCCTTCCCCCCATAAACCCTCAACCTAAACCCTACAGCTTATAGGGTTACTCGGTTGTCACAAGGGCGTCGGTATTGGGTTCGAGGGATTCGTAGCAAGTAGCACGGGCACTCCTGGGGTTTAGGGTTCTGGGTTTAGAGTTCTGGGTTTAGGGTTTAGGGTTCGGGGCTATTCAGGTTTAGCAGGGAGTTCAGGGTTTAGGCTGTTGATTTCAGTGTTGCGATGGCCAGTGGCCTCCACTCCTCTGAGGCTTACGACTTCTACACCTACAGGTTCGTGCTCTTACTAGGCGGGCCCCCACATCGCATGAAGTGCCTTCTGGGGTCGCCGATCTTGTCCGAGGGTTTAGGGTTTAGGGTTTAGGGTGTCGGGATTGTGTTTGAGCTCTGTTGGTGCTTAACACAGAACTCCCAATGACCCCGCCCTAAACCCTAAACCCTAAACCCAATCCAAACCCCAAACCCTCAACCGCTTTAGGGTTAGGGTTGAGCCCTAAAGCCTAAACCCTGAACCCTAAAGGTTTGCAGGTAGGGTTTACGGTTTAGGGAACCATGGGCATGGCGGAGCATCAGGACTCCTGTCTTGCCGAGCGTTAAAACCCTGAACTTCGAATTGCGAAACCCCTTGACCCATAGGCCCCATAGTAGTTCCTTTTTGGGGTTACCTGAAAGGATTCTATATATGAACCCAAAAAAGGAACTACTTTAGGGCCTATGGGTACATGGATCATGGGACTTAGTAAGTAAGGTTATAAGTCCCTTAATCTTATAGTTACCTCAGTTATAACCCTACTTACTAAGTCCCGTGAGCCTTTAAGCTTTACATGTAACTTTTTCATCGGACCTATGGACACCCTAACGCCTACATTCGAAACCCTTGAATCCTAGAGTCAGTCACAATTCCCGTCATCCGAAATACCAGAACTCTAGACACCCTTCCCCTAAACGACTTGTAGCCAAAACAGATCACCAAAAGCTCCCGAGAGCAGGGGGTATGCGGAGTGCGGCTTTCCTTTAGAGTACTCGTATGAGGTCATGACCGTCATCAGGATGTCCTTGGTTGGAAAAGTGCCTCCCAAACACTGAACCCAAAACCCTGAATACCCAATAGACCCCTATATCTTATAAACCCTAAGCCCGAAACCCTAAATCCCTAATAGACCCAAACCTCCAACCCCAAAACCCTAAACCCTAAACCCTAAACATAACCCTGAACCCTAAACCCCTAAACGCTAAACCCTAAACCCCTAAACCCTAAACCCTCAAAAAGGACGTAAGGTTACCTTCCGTAGCTCTGGGATGCTCCCTTCGGCCCATCCCCCAATCCCCAATAGACCCCTATACCCTAAACGACAAATCCTAAACCCTAAACCCTAAATCCCACATAGACCCCTAGACCCCTATAGTAGCCCTTGTAGAACCCCGGAGCCGAACAACCCTAATAGACCCCTACAATAGACGCCTTTGTCGAACCCCAGAGCCTTATTCCTAAAGGTCCCTTAATCGGTGTAGTTTAACTACAAAGGAGCGCAAAAAACCCTAGGCTAGGGCCGAAGCTCTCATCATCATCATCATCATCATCATCATCACTTCAAGGCTGTTTCTGCCTGCTGCTTCTCTTTTGGAACTCCCTAAACCCTAAACCCTAAACCCTGAACCCTGAAAGTCTTCTTGAAGGCTGTTTCTGCCTGCTGCTTCTCTTTTGGAACTCCCTTGCCGGCACCGGCCGGAGCTTCACAGCTGCTCTTTCGTGGGGCGGCCCAGATTGGGTTTAGGGTTTAGGGTTTAGGGTTTAGGGTTTAGAGTTTAGGGTTTAGGGTTTAGGGTTTAGGTTTAGGGTTTAGGGTTTAGCTTTCGTGGGGCGGCCCAGAGGAGCAGATTCGACCCCGGTGGTTTTAGGATTAAGGGTTTTTGGGTTTAGGATTTATGGTTTGGGGTCTATTGGGGATTTAGGGTTTAGGGTATAGGGGTTTATTGGGGATTTAGGCTTGGGGTTTAGGGTACAGGATGTCAGCTGAAGGGTTCAGGGTTTGGACAGCCCTGAACTCTAAACCATGAGGCCTACGCCTACACTAAAACCTCGAAGCCCTAAGCCGGTTCACGAAGCAAGTAATGATCGTGGAGCGGGCCTTACACCGGTCTTTGCGCACGCGCAATTCGAACCTCGGACGAGCATGATAGAGTCGTGGCCCAGTGTTGGTCAGAAAGTCTTGACTAGCAACCCCATGTGGCAGTTCTTTCATGCGGTTTTTCAGTGTGGAAAACACATTTACAGCATGTTTCCAGCCTGCTATCACGGCTTGTTCACTCGTTCGCTGTGCTGAAAGACTTCAGTCAGGTGTGAATGAAGCAATCCGGACCATCCTGCCTTCGTGCGTCTGCCTTGCACAAAGTCTGTCCCAGCTTCAACCACTAGGCTCGCCCAGTCATGACTGCTGGATGGTGCTCTTCTTGAAAGCTTTGCAGAACGAGACGACGCCTGAAGGCTCTACCCATTTTGAATGACCCTTTATGAACCTCTCGAAAAACGTAAATGCCTACAGAAGCCTACTCTAATTCTTCCGGCACCGTATTCTGACGGCCCAAAAATTCTGCCCAGGTCCAACATCTTCAGTGGCACGCAGGTCGCTGCAAGAAGGTTGAAGGGCGGGTTTAGGGCTTACGGCTCAGGGTTTGTAGGGCCTTGGGTTGATAGGGTTGGCAAGCTTTCAAGTCTCCGCTTGCTTTCGCGTCCAAGACATGCAATCACAGCTATAGAGAGGAACAATTATCGCATTTTTTTTGGGAAAAGTCCGAGCCACTATGGTTTTGCTTCGCCGAACCTTACCAGCTCTCACGCTAGCGATCACCGACTTCTCTGCCAGGGCCTACGCTTGCAGGGTTTAGGGTGTCAGGTTAGGTTTCTAGGGCTTAGGTTCAGGGGCATGGATCCCAAAAGCGGTGCCCTTGACATGTGGAAGATGATATTGAAATCTGATCTAGTATACCTCTCTGGCGCGAGGGCTTAAGCAGGAGTGATATTGGATGCATCCTAACCCCCAAAGTCCTAAATTGAAGCCGTACCCAGACCTGTAACCATCTCCGCACCGAAAACCCCAGGCCCTAAACTCTCTAGACCCATAGTTAAACCCTGAGTCCTATAAGCCCTGAACTCTAAACCCTGAGCCCTAAACCCTAAACCCTAAACTCCCCCAAAAAAACCTCGAACCCTCGACCCCCCGAACCCGAGGCCCTAACCCTTAAAGCCTGAACCCTCAACCCTGAACCCCAAACCCCAGATCCGGAACCCTAAAAACTTGACGGTGTTTTGCCCAGGAACATAAATCATATCCTAGATTCCCCAGCAGTACCCTTTGGCACTTTTCATTTCGAGGTTTCCTGATTAAAGCCTAATACTCGGGGAACGGTACCCGTATTATGATTCAGGGCCTACTGGAGAACCTAGTACCAAATAACCGATAAATATATAGACCCTAAGTGCTAGCATCCTTGGCCGATGAGTTTGAAGACAAACCTTATAGCTTACGGTATCTCGAATTTGGAACATCCAGAATCTGTGAGTTATCACGGTGGAGGTTCGCTGAGAAGGGATGGCAGCTGGCACATCGGTTGTTGGGGAGAGGGGGGGGGCAGAAGTTTTGGAGTCCCATTTTACGATTTAAGTTGCGGCGCTATGTAAGAGTGCAGGTGCAGGTTTAGCTTCGGGTTCAAGCTTGCATCGAAGCCCTAATCCTAAACCCTCGACCATGTAAGCCCCAAGGAGTTGTAAGACTGTAACATGCGCAAAGCGAGCCGGAAGCCTGAGGCGTAGACCCGGAGGCCAACAATTCCAAGTCAGAACTCTGGCTCCATTCGGGAGCCATACAATACAATATACTAATGTTAGGGTCCCTTTAATAAACCCCCCCCCCCGAGGGCGTTTTGCGCGGGGGTCTCTTGGGGCAGGGTTTGGGGGGGGGGG